AAAACATCCCGGATACAAATATATCTTTAGAGTCCGTTAGTTGTTGTTTTTTCTCCTGCATTTCATAATAGGAAAATAAGGTAGTCAGAAAAGTATCCAATCAAGGTCGACTTTGATCACGTTGAAGATATGAATAGTTCAATCTACTTTAATACATGAAAAGTGGACAGATAACTGGCTAAACAACTGAAAGCAAAAAGGTTCGGTAATTGTTTTATGTTTATTTTTTTTGTAAACATCTTTATAGCGTTATTAAATCTTGAACTGTTTTTAATATGTGCTAACTGGAATAGTAGGCTAATAAGATTAATTTGCTAAACTTATTGACTGAACTTTATTTCTTCCTAGGCTTAGTAAGTTGCTGGGCTTAAAATACATCGTCTGAAAACCTGGAAATATATTCGCAAAGCTTCGTAGTACTTATAATTGCTGAGTAGTTGATGAAGTTCCAGGAAAATAGAGAGCTCTTGGGCTGAGTTTCTTAGAGAGAAAATGGCAGAAAGATGAAGTGTAGTGCTGGCAGTGAAAACTGAAACAACTCTTCATAGTAGGATATTTTGTATTTTTTACATTCTGGTTAGTTGGTCTGATTTTTAAGCTTTTGGACGTTTAATAATCCAGTCAATACTAAAATATATGACATGCAAGTGAGCCAAACACAAACTAAATGGTGTGTTTATTGATTTACATTATCAAATAATGGGTTTAGTAACATGCAGGAAAATATATAACTGATAGAGATGGATATGAGTTTGGAGGCAGAGATGATTTAATTAGTATTTCTCACATTTTATACTCAGTTATAGTTGACTCGTGTTTAAGCAAGTCATAGACCAGGGACTACAGATGAAAAGGAGTTTTGTATTCATTCTATCATGTACAATATATGCGGTGTCCATGCTAAATAATTATTCAGAATAAAATACAAATAGCACTGCAAAGAGGGGAAATTTTTAACCTTTGAGATCTCTGAGAAGACAAGCCTGGCTGGTCATCTTTGTGAAATGTCAGCATTAATGTATTATTATCATGTTGTACCTAAGTGTCTGTTTGGGCGCTAACCAAACTCCCTGCTGTGTTCAGTTGACAGCGTGTTGGATCCAGAGAACCGGCTGCATATGACAGTGGAAGAACAACTGAAGGAGCTGCTGGAAAAGCTGGACTTTGTCACATCGATGCGATGCAGCGGTGCTCGAACTCGACGAATCCGCCTGCTTCGTCGCGAGATCAACAGCATCAGGGCGGGCAGGCAGGGCCAGTCCCACCGCCACATCCTACACAATGGACATCTCAAAGAAGAGGAGGATGATGAGCAAGATGAGGAGGACAACGACAAAGACGCCAAGGCGGATAACGGCCTCACATCTTCAGACAAAGGTGGGCACTGAGAGAGACTTACAGCAATATTAAATTGCCAATTCATGAACCTTTAAAAAGCCACTTTTTTTCAATGAGACCAGTTGTGAACATGAGCTAACGGAACATTGTCCTCAGGTAATTGAGCCAGGGTCCCCCCCACGCACCAACCCCAACCACCCCACTGTCTCCAGTCTAGTAAGTAGGGGCCCACAGAGTCTCGTTAGCCATGGTTGCCTCACAAATCCTCTCTCCCAGTGAACTCTATGTCTGCACCTCTTCTATACATCACTCTCATGGACTCACCACTCTCCATGGCCACATGCAGTCATGCCATATCATCCCACTTTTGACTAAAGGCTAGTCTAGTCAAACAGTCTTGTGTCACCATAGAAGATGGCAGGAGAACTCCTGCTATTTGAGTAAAGAACGAAAGATACTACCATGTTACCATGTTGATGGTGTACAGTTGTGAGAGCAAAGTACTTTTTCACTTGTCTTGATAAGGTCCTCCATATCTAGAGAATTATGTCAATTCCCTCTGGACTGTGGTTAGCGTGTTGGAATGAAGTGTAAATCATTACAGAGTGACACCATTTTCCTGTGTGAATACTGCACCACCGCATCACACTACATACTAAATGGAGATTCATTTAAAACCAATGCTGAGTGAATTGGAATATCATTCGTTTCCTCTCCTTTCAGAGGACCTCAAACCCGCTTCGCCCCCGACACTGGAACCTACAGGGCCGGCTCCTCCTCCACGTCAGGGGGACACACCTCTTGAGCCTCCCACTCTGCGGCCAATCACAGGGGAGCCCCAGTCCCCCAGCTACTCCGGCAAACGCCTTAAGATGGACGGTGACCTCTCAAACGGCACCACAGAGAACATTCATTGCATTAGCGCACAAGAGCGGTCAACTTCGCCACGTCCCAGTTTGCACAGTGAAGGACAGACAGTGACCAACGGTCTGGCAGAGCTAGGCATCACCTCACGGCCCCCGACGGGGGGAGTCGGGCGACGGACCTCCGTGCTGTTTAAGAAGGCAAAAAATGGAGCTAAGTTGTTCAAAGCGCGAGACAATCCTGTGCTGAATGGGAATGGACCACAAGACGAGAATACAAGTAACAACTCTTCAGCACTCAATTCCATAGCCAGCACCCCATCTTCCACACCTTTGACCACTCCAAGCAGAACCCCACAGAAGAGCCCAGGACCCCCCAACCTTAATGAACTATGGACCTCCAGTCGAGACATGTGTTCAGATAGTGAGCCACAGAAGACACCAAATCACACGCTGGAAAGTGGTGAGAAACTTTGCTTTATTACTGACGTTAAGTTTAAAGTGTTCTGCTCAGAGAGGAGAAGTGACAACTAAAGACTCGCTTGGAAGGGATCACATTTTCTGGATTGGGCTGACTGTACATTTGTTATTAGCTATAGTTATTATTATATGTTTTTTTTCCTAAGTCTACCTGATTGGTCAGACAGTTAGCCCTGTATTGTTTAATGGATTTCAATATAACTGAGACAAGAGCAGACATAAGTGCTCCTTATATGTCATCTTTTCTGACTTCCCCTCCTGCTCCTTTGGCTCTTATCTGTTGCTGTTCTGATTTCTCTCGCTCTTACTTTCAGGATTGACCAACGGCTTTAACACGCACAAAGATAGCAGATCCGACTTGGAGTTTAGGTCTTGCCCAGTTCTCCACAAAGAAATGTAAGACATTGTGTGTCTTGTGTCTTCTTTGTGGTTTGTTTTGCTAACAACTGATAATAAAATTACAATATAATGTATTGTATTACAGCAACTCACCACCCAAACGTAGCCTTGGGAAACCAGCTCTTTCTAAAGTCCCCTTTCTGGAGATCATCAACGGAGACTCGGATTACACCGGTACTTTTTTCCTTCTGTATCCCAAGTTCTCTTGAAGCTAAGTTGCATTTATGTCCTGATTATTTATTTAGTCGCTGAACTAATTTGAGTGTCACTGTTGTTTGACAGGCAATAGTAGTCAAACATCAGAGGATGAGATGGAGCTGGAAGCACTAGACCTGGTTTGGGCCAAGTGTCGGGGATATCCCTCATATCCTGCTCTGGTAATTGCTGATCTGACCTGATATCACTATTTAATATGAGCGTTCAGCTCAGGGTGTTGCTTAAATTCCCTGTTGGGCTGTGTTTGTTTCAGATCATTGACCCCGAGATGCCTGAGGAGGGCCTGCTGCACAATGGGGTGCCGATCCCCGTCCCACCCAAAGATGTCCTCCGTCTGGGGGAGCAGCGGCAGGAGGAGATGAATGAGAAACTCTACCTGGTGCTTTTTTTTGACAACAAGCGGACATGGTGAGTTTAACATAAACATTGCTGTTATGCAATGCTCCATTTATCACATGGAGGTCAGAAGTGTTTGGTTAGTGAAACCTGATACATTTTCCACAGGTGTATCATGTGATGAAAAGACAAATGGTGGAAAGTTTGTTTGTCTTTACAAATAATTAGAAAATTGTTTGTAGATAATTCTTTATATTTGAATTTTACTTTTAAGATTAAGATTTAAGATTTATCACTCTTGATAAAAGGCTGTAATAATAATCCTCACCTCTGTCATTGGTGTTGTAGGCAGTGGCTTCCGCGTGACAAGGTGACACCCTTGGGCGTAGATGACACAGCTGACAAGCTGCGCATTATGGAAGGTCGCAAGTCCAGCATCCGCAAATCTGTCCAAGTGGCATACGACCGCGCCATGATTCACCAGAGCCGGGTGAGCCACAGCCACGGCTTTGTGGCTTCCGGGTACTTGTAGGGGGCCTCTGTGAGCACTGTGTACACCCACAGTTGGCCGATATGCATTTTCTCTTTGGTCTTAAAGCAGCAGGTGGAGCGGTTCATGTTGCCGGTCGAATTCATATTCACACTGTGGTCCGAAAAGAGGTTGCCGTGGCACCGAGTCCTGGACTGTAGTTTATTACCAAACCACTAGTGTCTGACACACAGAGGACTGGTGTTTGCCTCTGTGTCATTGTTGAGGAGGTGGAACTCCTGACGTGAATGAAGTTACCTTTAGGTCCCGTGTTGCTGCAGTAAATTCCCCATTCAGGGTTGTATTGAGGTGTTGCTTACTCCTCCTGGATGTGCTGATGTAAAAGAATTCCCGTCTATTTTGTATAATGCTACTGCTGCCAAGGAATCAAGTAGTCAGAAGAGATTTGATATATTTATATGAGCTGCAGAAGACTAATGAATGCATCACTGCCATCTTTTATACAATAGCTTTTTACATTTAAATCTTTTACAGAGACAATTGTATATTATAAAGGCACACTTTGTGTACATATGTAAGTGTATTATCAAACTGAATTTAATTTAATGTTGCCGTTTTAAAATGCGTATTTCAATCAACCCACAAGGGACAAAGCCAGGCTGTGTATATTTGTGGAGATTTAATAATTCCTGACTTGCTGCAGTTTATTTAGCTTGTCTTCGATGTAATTTCAACTGTGTTGTGTGCGTGTATGTGTGCGTACGTTCTGGGCATACAACACAATGAGCCGTTGTTCTTTATACTTGTATTCTCTTTTTGATACAGAGAGAAATAATTTATTTATGGAAGACAGAACTATAGAAATAAAGCTATATTGGTTAAAGTTGACAAAAATCTTATTTAATGGCGTGAGGATTTAAAACCATGCAGCCAACATTTTTAAATGGATGACATCACATGTTTAGTTTATCAGGATTTTACTTTAGACCAACATTTGCTGTCCCCACCTCCCAGAGGATTCTATTTATTACAGAGTGCCCTATTTTATCAAATGGACAAATACACCTTCATAAGCTTGTACTACCTGCATATTTTACCTGCTCACCAAATATTTTGTCTGTAACCAGTATTTCCTTATTTGGGGAAATAAATTCTATATTAAAAAAAGAAAAAAGCTTTTGGGATACTTACCTGGAGTTTTGTGTTCTTCTTATTTAATACTGACCGATAAAGCGCTCATTGTTATGTACACCTGTTCAACTGCTTGTTATTGGCACTATCTCATTGACCAATCACATGGCAGCCTGCTGAAGTTCAACCATCTCTAGGGTTTACAAAGAATGGCCGTCCAAAAAAAGAAATCCTCTAGTTCTCTGCAAAAGAACTATAAATTAGAGAAGGGTCAGATTGCTTCGTGCTGATTAGAAGGCAACAGTTACTCAGATAACCACTTCTAGTGACCTGATATGCAAAAGAGCATCTCTGAACACACAACACGCCAAACTTTGAAGCAAGTGGGTACAGCAGTAGAAGACCATACTGGGTCCCACTTGTGTCAGTTAAGTACAGAAAACAGAGGCTACAGTTTACACAGGCTCACCAAAATTAAGAAAAGACCTGAAAAGCACCCCTTCTGATTTGGTGTAAACACCACGAAAGCATGGATCCATCCTTTCTCCTCAACATGACAGTGAGGTCACTGTACTCAAATAATCTCCACAGTCACCAGATCTCAGTCCAATAAAGCACCTTTGCGATGTGGTGGAACCGAAGATTCACATCATGGATGTATAGATAAGAAATCTACATGTATGCTGCTTATCATGTTAATACAGACAAGAAATCTCTGAGGAATGTTTCCAGCACCTTCCTAAATCTTTGATACAAGAAATTAAGGCCGTTCTGAAAGTTGCAGCCTAGTACTAGTAATGTGTGCCTAATAAAGTGACCAGTGAGTGTACGTTCATTACAACTGCATTATCATTACAGCTTTCCTTTTATGCTTTATTTTAACATTGTTCAGCAAAGTGAAAAGTTCTGTAAGTGTGAATGTTAAATGTATACAAATTTTAAAAAAAAACACCTATAAAAGTTTCTTTGATGAAACAAACTGCAGCAGCCCACAAGTGCATCTCAGTCCTGTTATAGAGGCTAAAATTCCTAAATGACTCAGGACTGGGGAGAAAACAAAGACAGCTGAGTAACTGTCTCCTACACTGTCCCATTTATACCCAATCAGAACCATTCTACGACAGTGTTTGTACAAATAAGTCTTTGAATTGAAGTGAAGACATAAAAGACTGAAGATTTTCAGAATTTCTTGCACATCTTCACTGTCAGTGTCCAGACTGCTGTCTTGTCAGGAGGAGGTAGTTGTGGCGGAGGGTTCGCAGCTCCGTCAGTCTGCCCAGCAGGCGGCCAAACCTCTGCGCTCCTCCTCGCACTGCTCCAGCTTGGGCTTCGCACAACCTGGACAGCAGGTCCAGGATCAGTTCCTGCATTTTCTCAACACAGCTGGCTGCCTGCAGGGATGCGCGGTCTGCAGACAGGGACAGAAAGACAGAGACAGCTTTACAACAGCATCCCAGGAGCTTTGCTTTGCCAATTCTTAACTTGACAGCTGATTTTATTCCTGGTCTGACCTGAGCAGAGCAGCGCTGTGGCTGTAAGCAAGGTGTACTCAGCCTCCGTCACCCGTAGCGCAACTATGCTGTGGAAGAAGTTGAGCACTGGTGCAAAGAGATCCTCACTGCTCTCTGTTCACACCAGCAAATGTGGAAAAAAACATCTAATTCATTCATTGTCTGAGGAATTTTTCCACCGCTTGTCAGACTAAGGAGTGTGTGTGTGTGTGTGTGTGTGTGTGTGTGCCCACCTGATCCAATGAGTCCCCTGCTGTGGATGTTTTCCTTTGATTCTACGTCTCTGAGAAAGCTGTGTGTTGACATACTGAAAAGCTGCAGTGCTGATTAATGGAGAGAGAAAAAAGAAAGAATGGTTATTTCATACAGTTATCTACTTGTGTCTCATCATCTTCCTCTCTCCTGGTGTTTTTTCACCTGGACTGGGGCTTGTTGGGTTGTGGGAAAACTGCTGGGCAGAGAGCAGGAACATGACGTCCAATGAAGAGATGGATAGCAGAGAAATCTGGTCTGAGAAATCCAGGAGGTCAAAACCTGTGAGAAGATAATTCTTTGTTGCTATTGTTGTTTTAATTCTTTAAATACAGAATCAAACTGATATCAAAGTCCCTCCCTGGAGACACTGGCTATAATAATTCAGTAAAGGGACTAGATGTTGTAGTCCCTGATAATGCATTGCTTTAAATGGCGAGAATCTTGAGGGATGGCTGTTATGAGGAAAGGCAGCCCAGAAACTTTACCAGCAGCACACATCGTTGTGTGCCTCAACTTTCAGTCTTTTACCCAAGCTAATCTGCCATTTTTTGGGATTAGAGATTTGATCTAGATTATCATATTAAGATTTGGGACACATCATCAGTAGTGGACCTTGGATTCATTGGATGTTTCAGCCATTATCACTAGACACCCTCATCCAAGGAGGCCCTGCCAGGGTTGATCAGGCCCTGGAGTGTGTCACTGGTTTATGTTAAATTGTTATTTCTCTTCTTCTTTCTTCTGTTTAGTTTTCTACAGTTTATTTTCTCCTATCTATTCACTGCAACTGAGAAATAATACTTACCACTTTAGGTAAGTATTATTTATGGAGCCTAACTTCAACAGCCTAACAGAAGTAAGACAAAAGGGACAAGATAGGAGAGAGCAGAGAGGAGAGCCAGAAGGGGGGCGCTTCCACAGGTATTTGAGGTGTTTTTATAGAGCCTATATGAGATGCAATTAGGTCGTGGAGCTGGTGCTGCTCTTGCCTGCTTCACTACCTTCTCCACTTCACTCCATGTAGGTGGTCTTATGTCCATTTGGTGTTCTGGTGCCTGGATAGGCGGCATGTCACTCGGAATAGTAACTGGCTCATGCCTCCGATACTCAGAGTAAGTTTTCCTCAGATGATCTTCCAGGTCTTTTATGGGCATTTTGAGGCAATCGCTCTTCCGTTCAACAAAAAGGCCCTTAACAAAGTTGTATGGGTTGCTGTAGAAAAGGGTCCTTGTCTGTTCTTTCTTCTTACGTAATAATAATTACGTAATAATTGCCCCACCTTCCAGCAGCAGGAGCAGCAGCAGCCCCTCAACAGGAACATTGTACCCCATCAGGTAAAACATGGGCTACGTTTTGCTTTTCATTGTCCCCACCTGACGACAGTGATATTGTATGCAGCAATTCCATATTAGATTCTATTCAGCCTGAGCCCCTTTTAAACTTTGACCACCCGTCCCTTCAAACATCTCCACATGGCCCTGCCCGGAATTACACACAAGCATGTAGATGCAAACAATAATCCCCATTCTTCTTTCAACTGAGCTGTGAGATTAGCGCGCTATGGGTTTCGTTTGGTTGCCGGATGTAGATAGTAGAAAATAGATCCAACACGAAACCACTAACAATAAGCTCTATGGATTTTTATTTATTTATTTTTTTAAGAAACTGGATCATGATTTCTGGAAAGCCATACTGCTGCAAAGCACCAGCAGGAAAGTTTCATTTATTTCTATTATATTCAAGAGAAAGCAGAGATTTCTACAACCAGTATCTCCTGTGCCAGCAGAAACATACTGATTCAATTTTGAGGACTGAGAAGAGACTGTAGGTAATAAGATTCTGGAAACTTTCTTGAAGCTGGTAAACAGATAGTAACTTTCCTGTATTTTTTGTCTCATTTGAATGGTAGAGCATCTCCCCTCTGATCCTCTTATCCTGCTTCTTTTTCAAGCAAATGCATTATAAAGCTGACACCTCCCCTCTTTCATCTCACCTGGCACTGTCCTGGCAAACTGCAGCAGCCTTTGTAGGCGGGGTGATACTACATCAGACAGGCCTTCCACTTCTTCTGGACACAGCCACTCAAATGCCTGAAGGCACACACAACAAAAGCAAGATGAGAACAAGAAAACTATTTTTGCACTGTATGTTTCTGGACTGGAACCTACCCTAAAATTGCTACTGTCCTGACCTCTGTAGAGCCTATGGGCCTCCACCATCCTGTCCACGATGTATTTCTGTTCTCGGGTTAAACTGGCAGACAAAGCCTGGTGCAGATGGAAATGAGCACAGCACACAGATTTGCAAAGAAGCACTCATGATTACAGAGTGAGAGACTAGACACAGTTTCGATTAATAATGAGGGGAGCCTAAGACTTTTCTTTTAAAACTGATACTGAGAGCTGTGTGAATAGCTGGAACACATTTTATTTCAGTCCATCTAATGACTGTTTGAACCTCCTGGTGGCAGCAGAGGAAGAGTCTGTGATATTTCAGCCTTTCTGGGTTTGAAAAAAATATTGAAATAGCAATGCAACCAGAAATCATTGACTAAATAACCGAGTAAATACAAGTAAATGTGATTATATTTATTATATCCTATATATACTATTTCAGTATGAACCAAAGTGGTGCGACTGACCTTCAGGCTGACGCTTGAACACCAGCAGTTGCCATGGCAACAGTTTGCTATGATTTGTTCATTAGAAGGCCTTCAGCAGCTGCTGGGCTGGTGGTGGTGGTTGACTTTGAGGCTCATGTTTTGAGTCACCTAAATATAAAGGCAGCACTTTATAATGTGGCCTGTGACTAAGGGTGTAATTACCAAAGAATTCAGGGGAGTTTCAATGTGTTTTACCTGAAATTACAATGTAACAATGTGTACCTACAAATGCTTCCCAGTAGATACATCAGAAAGAAGAACATTTTAACTCTCAGGGAACTGCACCCTTAGTCGCTGGCTGTATTATAAAGTGTTACCAATACCAAAAACTCCAGTGCTAGTCCCCCCAAAATTATGCTTAGTTCTTGAAAACTAGATCTTTTTTGAGCACCATGTTAATGCTTTACTGAAAAGGTCCAGCAAATCATCTTTTTCCACTAAGCATAGTGAAATCTGAGCAGGTTTTTTTCACTGAGACAGTGCCTCTTTTTTTAGTTTCACATGACCATTTTGCATTGCTGCTTGGTTCAGAAGCTTTAAAAACATCAGGTGGACTTGGATGTCTTGTCAGAACAGCCAGTAAGATGTTCAACAGGAATCAGAGCAACCTTTTTGTTATTTACAAAAAGGCTGGCTGGCCTTTTTGTAAATAACAACCGGCTCACTCCCATTGGCTCCTTGCCGGGGTCTGGTGCCCTGGGGGCCCCTTCTGGGGGGTTGGGAGCCCTCAGGCCTCTGGGCCTGTGGCTCGGTTAACTCTGGCGCAGCTGGGTGCCGTCAGAGCCCGCAGGCACGTCACTGCAGCCCCCTCTGGCTTCTGCTCCGTGGCTGGGTGCTGGGTGACACCCCTGGCCCACATCTGGTTGACATACACCCTGCCATGACACCAGTCAATCAGAAGTGCCAGCTTGATGCCAGATCCAGGGAAGACCTATTTTCTATGGGTCTTTTTTTTTTTTCTTCTTCTCTCAACAGGTGATCCAGGAGATTTTTTCTTTTTAAGTGCCCTTTCTCACACTCCCTCTTCCACTCTGTTTTTCTTTCCTTCCCTCTCTTTCTTTCTTTCTCCCTTTCCTATCCCCCATGTCTGTCCCATCTGTAACAACTGAAAATAAAATGAAATAAAATAAATAGTATAACAAAAGTCGATCAAATGGACCAATACGGCAAGGCCGTGATGATCCACATGGTAAAGTAAATCCGTTGGGTATTTTTCTTGGCCTTCAGACAATAATTCTGATGGCTAAAGAACAAACGGGACAGGCAGAAAAAAAAGGCTAGCAGGTCCTCAGGAGAGCTAATGGCATAGAAAGTTGAGTTAGCATAGCTTAAGGACACCGAAGGATTGCACCACTACACAATCTGAGCCTTAGCAAAATTAACTTATGGTTTAATTCTGGGTTTTCAGGTCTTGTACTACATGCAGGAGGTTAGAATAGCTGGGGAGAATAGTGTCACCCTTCCTGGGTGATCCCTCAGATCTCAGGATGCAGATAGCAAGACAATCTATAGATTTAGAGACTGTGCCCGGTGAGCAAAAGTAAGAATTATAGATTCTTAGGAGCAATTTTTTGTTTTTTGTTTTGTTTCCCACTGGCAGCATGCAATTTTAAGGCAATTTGATGCTTCTATAAGCCTTAATCGAGCAATATATTCCTAGAACAAGTCTCCTTACAGATCTAAATTATGTTTTTAATTTGGTCTGTTTTGTTCTTGGGCACTTAAACAGCACTGGGGTAGCAGGAGAAAGAATAAGACATTTTCCAACGAGCATAAGAGCACCTACTCTGCAATACACGGGTTTAACAAAATGCTGTAGTTGGAGTCTGAGCTAGTGCCAGTGACAGTTATACTGATAAGTCTATTAAGATTTTGCCAGCTTTCCTTCCAGGCTTTAAATAAACTTTATTATCACTGTGCACTACTCTGGCACTTTCATTTCCTTATGAATTAGCATACCATGTAATCGTTTGTATAATTCACCCATATTGGTGCTGTTAAAGTTGTTCCTGTATATTGTGTTTTATGTGAACTCTTGCTGCTATGCTGAATTTGTTTAGCCCATGTGGCACAATAATCTTGAACCTCGAACTTTGAAGTTAGGAAAGTATCCAATCGAGCACAGGTGTGCCGCACCTGTCCGGGTAGCCTGCTGGTAGAGCTGACTCTCCTGCTGTCTGTGTTCTCCTCTTCCTCCTGCCCTCTGCTTTTACCTCCTTTCCTCAGGCGTTTGGATTGGCACTGCACCTCAGTCAACAGACCTGAAGAGAGGGTAAAAAGTATTACTTTCTGCACAAGCACAAAGTGACATATTGTTTTTTGGAATCTCACTAATCATTTCTCTGATTACATTACAACCTCAGTCAATCAGTTTCTTGTATTTGAGCCTTACATTCAGCCAGCATTCCCACAGCTCGGCACTTCCTCAGACGGCAGTCTTGACACTTCCTCCTCATGTACATATCCATCTCACAGCTACCACCACTCTTACAGTGATACACAGCTTTCTTGGTGACACTGCGTCTGAAGAATCCTGTAGCGAAAGGTAAAACATGACGTGCTGATGCTAAGAAGTAGAAAAATATGAAGATCAGAAAGCAATCAAATAAATACCTTTGCATCCCTCGCAGGTAAGAGCATTGTAGTGGTATCCTGATGCTTTATCGCCACACACCACACACAGCTCATCCTGACCTCTGCTCTTTCCACCCGAGCCCATCCGGGACCTCCGCCCCATTGGCAGTCCTACAGATCCGAGGCCCTGAGCAAAGAGGCCCCCACAGTGGGGCTCGGGGCTCGGATCGCAAGGGGCCTCCAGGCAGTGAGGGCTGTAGTGGTATGGTGGGTTGCAGAGCTGAGAGGAAGAGGAGGAGGAGGAGGGAGAGGGGGCAGAGGAGGGTGGAGAACCATAGTGGGAGAAGGGCAGGTTGGCAGGACTATACTGTTGTTGGCTGTATGGGAGGAGCTGGAGGTCAGGGTCCTGCAGGGGATAGCCCAGGGGGTCAGCCAGCATATCTGAAATCAAAGTCCAGGGTCAAAAGTTTTAACTGGCTCTGTATGTTGATGAGAGATGACACTGATGTAGGATCACATAAGTCACAGGTCCACCTGTGAACAGAGCAGCTCTGCTTTCTGTTTGTCAAGGTTGGCCAGTTAGAAGAAAGCTGACTGAAGGAAGGGTGGCTTGTTTCAGACAGTATAAGTAAGTATAAGACAAGTGTGATTCAAAGCTTCTCTAGTAGAGTCCAATAACGGAAATATGGAGCTTGAAATGAACACAATGAGGTTTCCTTGAAATACATTACTCGGACAGCTGACTTTTTGATGTCGCCTTGCAGTTTAAACCCACCCTGTCTCCATACATACAAAATTTGTATTCAGATTTTCATTCCCTTGGTTGTGCTAAACTGTGAGAAATGATTCAAGTATAAAACATGACATTTAAAGGAAGCGGTCACTGGAGTAAAACCTCTATTAATCCACAGTTAAAGAATTATCCACCAGGAGATGAACCATTTATTCCAGTTGGAGTAGCATTTGCTAAAAGCTGCAGTGCTCAGCAGCTGTGACAAATCACTGAACCTTTTGTAACAATCCCAAATCCAATAAAAGTTGGAGACTGTGTAAAAGTGTAAAATGGAGATAAAAACAGAATGCAATGATCTGCGAATCTCATACACTGCTGTTGTATTCCCAGCAGAACATAGAAAACATCAAAAGAAAAGAAAAAAATAAAATCTTTTTGAATGGCACCAACACGTCTTAAAACAAGTTGGGACAGAGCCTCATTTACGCCTATGTTGTTGTGTTGTTGTTTTTTTTTTCATTATGCAAATTTCCAGAAAAGGAGTTTTGCTCTTTGCCTCAGTTCATTTTAAACGAGCTTCAACCCAGAGAAGACGGCAGACGCTCTGAATCCCGTTCACATGTTGCTTCTGCTTCGCATCACAGTGCTTTAACCTCCACTGTGGATGGCACAGTAAGTTTTCTTCACAGGCATTCCGCCTGTTACCCCCGAAGACCATAACCACCCAATGCTGACTGTCCCTTGTGCTCAGAGATTTCTCCAAATTATGTGAATCCTTTGATGATAACATGTACTGAAGATGATTAGATATTCAGAGTTTTTACCAGTTTTATGTTGCTGGTACATATAGATTTATAGATGCAGTTTTTTGTACAACTCTCCCTCTCTGCGATTCACGTTTTATACCATGTTACTGACTTGTTGCCAGTTAACCAAATTAGCCTCCAGCCGTTTCATTTTAGTACCATATTCTAGGGCTGTTCATATAACGATATATATTGGATGAGGATATAAAAACGTCTATCGTTTCATTTTACACTATTGTTTGTTTCATGGTGTCGCAAACTAAACTGTTTACGGCAATATTTTTTCATCGTTTTGATGGTCACTGTAGTGGCTATATTAATTTCTTAAAGTTCTCTCTTTCTCTTATAGTTAATATTACCACACTACAGAAGGACAAGCACCTGTTTTTATGCTTGTGGTTAGCAACAACTACGGTAACAGCATCGCGTGTCCGCTTGTTTATGTTCCACATGAACCTTTCACAATAAAGCTCAAGATCCTGTTGAGACTTTTCAAAATAAACTGAATCACGTGGAACAGATTATTTACGGATGAGAATTTAAAAAGAGCCGCCAGGTGCTAAAAAATAAACCTTAGACTCAAACGTTAGAACAGGCTTTTCCCCGCAGCACGCCTTGTAATAAATACAAAGAAAACGGCGGCCTTTACAACTTATGTCTAAAAATGTATCGTTTCATGCATCGGTTAAAACACTCGACTCAAGACGAGCTGCCCAAGATTCACAGAATTTACAGAAAATGTTACATTTTTGTGATTTATATCGTTATCGGACGATAGAATTCTTACATCGGGATATGAGATTTTGGTCATATGGCACAGCCCTACCACATACTTTTGTTGACCCAATCCCACTGACACCTTGCTGCCATCATTTTCAAAATGAGATCATATTTTCCCTAAAATGGTAATTTTTCTCAGTTTAAACCTTGAATATGTTTTCTGTGTTCTACTGTGAATAAAATATCAGTTTATGAGATTTTCAAAGGATTGCATTCCATTTTTATTGATTTCTAACTTTTTTTGGAATTGGCGTTATACAAACTGAGCTAACATAGATCACCCATTTTAAAGATCGCTATCTTTAACTAGGAGCAAATGAACTTTTATCTGGAGTCACAATGATGAAATGATGAGAGACAAACAGCTGGTTTTAAGTGAAATGCAGGATCATGCTTAAGGTAATCTTATAGTATCACACACCTGTGCTGCAACCTGTCCTCACAATTCATAACACTCCATCATTTTTTTTCCCTTCTTCTTCTTCTTCTTCTTTCCTTCCTGCGTCACCACATTGGACCATCCCTAGCATCTCCTTATGTCACTACAGCCTCCTGACTGTATGTAGGATATTGTTATGATTACATCAGGTTGTGATCCACTTAAATAGCGCTCAAGTGCCGTGGTGTAAGATTTATGACTTTAGGTGTAGCAAATATTCTTTCCAAATTGAAAATCTTGCCAGTATTGTAAATCTTTCACACACATACAGCATCTAACCTACAGGGAATAAGTGATTGCACTAGCGTGACTGAAACATGAATGAACGTTTAAGGAAACTCTGTGACGCTGGTCGAAGTCAAAAAGCTTCAGAGGAATGTGAATTTACGTGAGTCGTGACTGCTTTAATGGCTCTTATGGGATACAATAAAAAGCTGAGAGTGAGACCCTGTGAACTTGTTCAGACTGCTGAAACAGGATGCAGCTGAGAACTCCCAGTGCCATTTAGGATTTTTCTTTTTATTATTATTTTTATTTTATTTTTTTATCCCCTTTTTCTGGATTCTTCATTTAGTCCATCATTCATTCAGTTCATTGTTGGGATGACCTAAAACATGTCAGATTGTGGGTCAGCCGCTTGTGTTTTGCAAGCACTGACTCCACTGAGAAAACATGTGTGACCACTGGCAGCCTCTTAAAGTACAGCTGGACTATTCGACTGGGACTGCTGTGGGATCTGTTATGCACTGATTAAACAGAGAGCCCACCCAACCTTCAGGAGTTTCAGGAAATGGGAACTTTCGGGCTAAAACATGTTGGATGAAGATTAGGAAGGACTAGTTCGTTGATTTTAATGTGTGTAAACCGTGTATATGTACACATGATTGTAAAATAAGTATATGTATATATAGTAATTTTACTACTATATGAAAATATGTTTGTGAAGGTTCTCAGTCATCCAGGTCATCGTAGTCTAAGGAGCTTGGAAAGAAAAGCGTCTGGATTTCTTTAAGTTGCTTGAAGACGTTTCACCTCTCATCTGAGAAGCTTCTTCAGTTCTAAGATCAAATGGTGAAGAGTCTCAGATTTAAGCCCTGTGGGAGTATCCCCCTAAGAAGGACAAAGGACGCCCTAATGATCCTCTACCTAATCACGTGAGCCAAGGTATGAAAACGGGTGTGGGTCACAATCAGCCAAAGTTTCGGGGGAACTCATTGTGAAACCTAGCCCCACACTATCATGTGATTTCCTGAGGTCAGAAGGCCCAGGATGTGAGTGGGCGAAGTCTGAAGAAGCTTCTCGGATGAGAGGTGAAACGTCTTCAAGCAACTTAAAGAAGTCCAGACGCTTTTCTTTCCAAGCTCCTTAGACTACGATGACCTAGATGACTGAGAACCTTCACAGACATATGTATATATAGTAGTAAAATGTGTATCACTATATACAGTACTGTGCAGAAGTCTTGAGCCACACCTCATTTCTCTACATTTTGCTTGTAATTGTATTAAAGTGGCCTTAGCCAATAGCTCTAAAGGCTTTCTAAGTCTTTCAAAGTGCTTTGGATATTGGCTGCTTTTTCACTCATTTTCAGTCCAGTAACTGCATTGTTTTTTCTTCAATTGCAAAGCCAAATACACTGACTTATAAACCATTCAAGCATAAAAAAAGCACCTTCCTCAAGGAATGAACCAGACTTGTTTCTACACATAACAGACAATTTAGCAAATAACCGATTTTTAAGAGCAGCCTTTCACAAAAATCTACAAAATCTACAATAAATGTCCTCCAAGGTGATTCCCAAAGAGCTGTTAGCTGAAAAAGTAGCATCTTATGGCATGATGCGTGCAGGGTGCCCTTAAAAATATGGAACTGGCCAAGTGGAGCAGAAAAAAAGAGTATACCTCAGAGGTCAGAAGGGAGGTACAACAGTGAGTGTGTACAGCCATCTGTGAAACATGGTGGAGGCTGGGTCATGGTTTGGGGTGGCATTTCAGCCAGTTGTGTTGGATATCTTCTCAAAATGAATGGAATTATGAAAGCACAAAATGATCGTCAGACTTTTGTCCAAATCAAGTAAATGCATATTCGGGATTTTTTTTTTTTAAACATAAAATGGGACATTATAAGTCACGGTTTGGTCTCCCCAAAATCCGGACATCTCTGTCATTGAAGCAGTGTGGGAATCACCTTAACAGAGAACAGAACAAAAGGCAGCTAACATCCAACGAAGCACTTTGAACGTCCCCAAAGAAGCCTGGAGAACTATTACTGACGTCTACTTAAAGAAAGCTGCCTAAGAGAGTTCAGGCTGGATCAAAGAACAAAAGATGATCCTACTAAATATTAACTTTAGAGGTTAGCAAAATTGTACAAACTCTATTTTTGCCTTATATACTGTATTATATACTGTATTTAAATGTGTCTGCAAATGTTTTCTTCCCCTTTTCCGACCAAAATATAAACAAATGAAGAATGGCTTGAGACTTGCACAGTACTGTGCAGAGAGTGAGGTACGTCTTCGAGCTCTGAGAGAAAATCGGGCATCCTGCAGTGATGCTGTAGCACATGCACATAAAGAGGAATTTCCAGGAGACAATATTCAAAAAATAAATAAATAAATCAAAGCAGCAAAGGTCGCCATATCCTGCCTTTTAACACTCAGTGTGGTTTGACAAGTGTTAAACCCTTTCACAATGCATGGAGTGAGCAACATATTAAGTTAGTTTAGAACAAAGACAGGATGAAAGGAAACAGAGAGTGACATGAATGAGAGCCTTTTCTGTGCGTGTCAGATAACAACCGAGCAGTCCCAACCATGCTGACGACTCCAGTTGAGTCATATTTTCCACTTGAGTTGACTTCCCATTTTGAGTAAATTGATCATCACGCATAAAATTGTTAGAGCTACCTTTGTTTCAGGAAGTAATTCAACTTATATCTTTGGCAAATAGACAAATCTGAATAGTTATATCATAGTTATGTAAAAATCCATTCCTATTCCCAACTCCCTCTTTTAGTGACCTCAAAAATAAGCAACATAAAAACTTCACCCTGCGTGTGGTCAGTTTCTCCTCAGAGACCCCATGCGTGTCATCGATCATCAGTTGTGACCGAGGCTTCCTCAAAAGCATCCCGAGGAGTTCTGAGCCTAAATTACAAGCGTGTTTGATGATAAATGACAGAACATGTTGAGAGCTGCTGCAGCTCACATTTGGTGGACTAATGTCCCTGCTCTGATCAGCTGAAAGCCTACTAATGAACTCTTCTCTGTGCTTAATTTCCCCTCCTCGCTTTCATTCTCCCTGCAGATGTTTCCTGTCTTTACCCGACTAGGCGATGGGTTGGCTTGGTGGGGGGTGGAGGAGGAACTGGGGGGCTGGTGGGGGGGTGGTCCTTGCTTTCTCACTGTGTGACTGAGCTGCGGTTCGCAGTGTTTGTAAACCATTTGAACGCTGTCTAAACACTCCTCAGCCTCCCTTCCATCCCACGCACGCTAGGGAGCCAAACAACACCAGCAAAGCACCCCCTGCAGCTCCCCCTCCTCCTCCCTTCCTCCCTTCCTCCTCCTTCTTCTTCTCCAAAGGGCAGGAGGGGAGACAACAGGGAGACGTTGTTGATGATACATGTCAGTATAAATAGATCCTCCGATGCACGCTCAGGCTCTCTGCATGTCGCGAAGGCGGTGAGCCGGCTGATCCCCCTCAAGAACAGTTTTTTCCATGTCACTGAGTTCTCAAACGCCGTAAATAAAGGCTTAGCGTTTATTCATCAGCTGTCAGAGTGAATGAGGCTGCACCGCACACAGAAGGCAGTCGTATATCAGCGTGTAACAATATAAGATATTTATGGCCCACTTACTTAATGTCAATCTGTGTGACCAGTACACAGTGTCAAATCTGTAGACATAATAAAGCAGCAGAAGAGTCATCAAGTCTCGAGTGTCTTATGCAGCACGGATGCTCATTTTGTTGCCTAGAAATTGTGAAATTCTGTTCCCTCTTTGATTTAAATGTTCATTTCAAGCCAGCAAGGTTTAGATCAGCAGATTGAAAAATGCTAAACTGTCCAAAACCTTCAAGGAAGTTCAGAACCTCTCAAAGTACAAATTGAAATTTATACAAAGGGGGATTTGGTTAGAGCAGAAGTGACAGCAGAAACCACATTATCCTTCTTAATACTTGTCGCACTAAATTTTGTACTTTGTTTGGATTTCATCTGCTCAGGTGAGAAGAAAATCCTGTGAACGGTGTCCATAGTAACTGCTTCCTCCTGAAGAAATAATCCCAATACAAACACTGACAGTGTATTCTGTGGATTACAAGTTGATATGGAGACTGGCTCTGAAAAATGATGTTCCCCATTGAGCTCTTTACAGTAGCACTGACTGATCATTTAGAGAGTTCTTTGTAAAGCAAATGTCTGCACACATTCAAGTTGCATAAGGTATTAACATGACTGTGGACTCACCGTAGTACTGGAGCTGCTCAGCGGAGCAGTAACCATCTGAGGTGCTGAGAAACCCCCCTGCCGTGAAGCTCATCTCCAGCTCGGTCCACTCTCTCATCTGGACAGAAAATCCTCTCTCTTTAACTAGTAATACAGGCTCTATCTTCATACACACACACACATACACCCATAAACACACAGAGACAATTACTCAGAGAATTCACGCAGATATCAAGGCTCTGGGAAGTGTGGAGACATTCCTCAATCCCCAGGATGCGTCTAGGTCTCTTAGCTGATATCCCAGCCTATTTTTAAAAAGCAGAGAGCAGCAGTGCAGCTGATCCTCTTGGTCGGTGGTGGATGATGTGCTGGAGGAGGGATTACACATCCCAGGGGATAGACAAAAGGGAAAGTGGGGGGACACCGAGGAGGGACAGGGATGGGACTGTGTGTCCAAACAGCTGGACCTGACTGGGACGTCATAGATCAGAAAACGCTGGGGAAAGATGATGGCTTTACTCCTTGCATGTTGAGGTTTGTGTAACAAGAGTGCAACAGCTGGACTGGGCGAAAGAAACATTTTCCATTAATGTAACGTTTCAAATAAAAGAAATCCTCCTTAAAGTTCCCCTTCAGATTAAACAAACCTCGTTTCTTTTATTTAAGTTGTACCTAACTGTGCGCTGTGAACGTAACTGTCCATATTTGTCCTAAAGGCCTTGGGGAGTGTGTTTACTCTTCCTTTTGTTTACCACTGTTCTGTTTGTGCTGTGGTTAATATTGGACAACAGATAGATTTAAGGCTCTCGGGGTCCTCCGCCTCCCCCACAAATAGTTAACCAGACCAGGGCAGAGCAAAAGAAGTCGAGGTCTGCACCACCCGGAGAAGACAGAATAGTGACCCCCATTACAGGCCTGTAAATCTCCAAGCAGGGCCGGTTGACACGCAACATGCTTACTGAGGATTAATAGTGTCCTCCCACCCGCCTATCATCTCTTTCGCTGGCTCATTATGGGAATCAGGACTGACTTATGCACAGCAGAGGGCTAGGGGAGAGCCAATCATTCTCAATGAAACTGTAGCCTTCACTGGTGCAATCACGATCAGTCTCACTCACAAATGAAACAGGAATGTAGCTGCTGGCTACACGGTGTTTTTTTTTTTTAAAGTGGATGTCCAAAGGGTAAATTGATACATATGTGGTCACAGCACTGTGGAAAAGTACAAACTAAGGCCTAAAGAAAAAGTACATAAAACAAAAGATGTGTCACACTTTTGAAAACTTTGACTTACCCTGATTAACTATAAATAAGGACAAACCGATTAACCCGCTGTGAGATTTGTCAAAAAACTTTACAGGGGGTCAAAGTGCGTTTCAACCGGGCAAGGGATTTTCATTGTAGCATTTCTAAGCATATTAGTTTTCTTTAGAAAGCAGCCTGGAGATTGCTCCAGACCAGGATCAATAAAAGAACTGACCTTTATACCGAGCCATTGCACAAACCGCTGCTGTGCAATGTGTTATAATGCTGTGATGCTCAAAGTTTGTAAAATCAAATTAAAACTGAGGGTTATCTAATCTATAACTTCAGCGAGTGCTTGAGCTGTCGCTTGAGAAATCAAGTGCCAAAAACGAAAGAAATCACTTTAGACTTGAGAAAAAGAATCGCTGTTGCTCACAGAGCAGGAGATGGATATACAAAGTTATCCAAGCATTTCCAAAGTGTCAAGAACTGGAGAGAGAAGTATCATCAAGAAATTCAAAGAGAGCCACAAAACACAGAACAAACCTGGGAAGGTAGGAAGAGAAAGAAGGGAAAGACTCTAGAAATAAAACTACCGGGAGATGTTTCTAAAAACTAACAGTTATAATTACATTCAAATTGACTTTTTCCGATAGATTTAAACAAGCAAGTAGCTGTTTAAAGCTGTTGGAGAAGTGTTTACTCACATAAATACACGTGTCAGTGATTCAATCTTGCTTACAGGAAGTCTTGATTTTTAACTCTCTGATATCCAGGGTCTGGTGTCATTCAGCCAGGATTTAAAGAGCTCTACAAGGGCTTCAGAGTAAAGTTTGTGAATGCCTATGAGGGTGGTAATGGATTTTAAAAACTGTCGAAATATCCTAGAATTCATACTAGTACTTGAAAAAAAATCCACAATTTATGTAAAAGATTTGCATGTGTACTTTGTGAAAAGAAAAATCTATAAGGCACCAAATTTCATAACAGGATCTCCGGGTAACTCGACCCCCTTCTGCTATCAAAGTGCAAGAAACAGAGGCTACACAAATCTGACCATGCTTGGCCAAAGGCTTTTCCTATGAAAAGTCTTTGGCTGATCTGATGGATGATCCCAGCAAACCAGCTTTTCAGGAAAAGAACCTAATACCAGCTGTGAAACTTGGTGGTTGAAATGTTGCACTGTGGTTTTGTTGTACCTCTCCTCAAGGACTAGGTAGCCTCATCTATGAATCCCATATCACAGTAGAGAGTGCAAAAAAAGAAAAGGGCCAGTTAACACTGAAGAGCCATACCTGAACCTACGCACGTTAGCAAATCCTCGGTGGAATGACTCAGTCAAAGTCTGAGAGATTTGAAATGGACATCATGAAAACCCACAAACATCTTGCAGTAGAAGAGTGCACGTTGATGTCTAGTGAGTCTGTGGACACTTTCTTCACATTTTCTATTTTTCTTCCTTAAATTTCCTTGTGTTGTTGTTAATGTATATGACTTTTATCTGCATCGTTCCAAAGAGGATCCAGTGTTATTTAATCAATATTGTTATTTTGGTTCATTTAAAAATCAGACTTACACAGAGCGCAAAAGGGAGTTCTGTGACCATGCTAGCTGTTCTCTAAAAATCTACTTCACAGTGTGAATATCGTGTCAACATTCGCTTTTTAGAATCAAAGTTTACATGATGCCGATGAGGATTGTTTTGCAGGGTTTCGGCTGTATACAGAAGAAATGTATAAACTAAAAGGTGGAGATGATGAATCATGGAGGGAACATTAATGTCTGCACCCGATGTAACTTGCACATGTATTGAATGGTGTTAAAACGATCCATTAAAAAGCCAGACAACTCCCAGGGTCAATGGGCTTCAATTATATCTTGATGTCATGCATGCAGTGCTGTGCAAAAGTCTCATTACTTTGGAACTGAGTGGGCTTACATCGATCAGAGAGTTAGAACTAAAAGAAACTTAGATTAACCTGAAAGGAACTAATATGGGTTAACTGCTGGTTGATACAATTCAGGAATTAAAACCAAAACTGACCTGGAAAAAAAAGGAAATATATTTTCGTTTTATTTTTTTATTTGTCATATTCTTTTTCCTTATGGGATTTGGATACAAGTATAGTATGCATATTACACACAAAAACACACTATTACCCATTTCTTTTTTTTATAATTAAGATGAATTATTCTTGAATGAAGGCATTGATCTGACACATGTCAAATGTAGCCAATTGTGTTTATTGTTCCACCCCCATCTC